ACAACAACAACTGAAGGACAAAAAGCTGAGAAGAGTAAAGACAAGCAAAGAAAAAAGATGAGTAAGGGAAAAGAGAACTCAAAGAACAATAGAAGAAGGAAGTTATGGCCAAACAGCGCGAAGAAAAAAAAAAGAGAAGAGAAAAAGTTGGAAATGGAGGCAGTGAAAAAAAGAAAGAAAGCAAAAAAGTCAAAACTGAAATGGCCAGAAAGAAAGAAGAGAGATGTACACTAGACACAGTGCGCCTCTCTCTGGCCTTACAACAGGAGGGAACCTAACAAGACCTTTCCTACAGTTGTCAGAGGAATCACCACTCACCACCTGACAGAAAGCACCACTCACCTGAGGGCTGAGAATCCTCCGAACAAAGCTCCCGAGGCCATCCCAACACAGAAGCCCATCATGAAGCCGACCTTGATCCTGTCGAAGCAGCTGGGGGAGCCACCATGTTGGCCATAAGCACCGGACGGCACTGGCATGGTAGAGGGTCAAAGGTCTAGGGTGAAAGAGCTGCCGGTCACGGGGAGGGAACAGCTGGCCACGGACTTCTGGGAGTTCTCGCTTCCAACGTCAGACTGGAGATAGAGAAATGAGACAAATGTTGCACTTTGTGATAGAAAGATTTACGGACTCCTCATCCTCTAGTTTATCGAGTCCTTTTTTTGAGGAATAGCTACAACACGACCATGATCGGCACATCTGTAACATGATGAAATGACGACACATTCGACACTATGACACGTGGAACATAGTGATGACCTACTACACCAAGTTTTTCTCTAACCAATATAATAGGCCTACTGCAGACACCCTCCGGATTGACAAATGTGTTTGATTCATCCATGATTCGGGTTAGCTGATAAAGAAAAAGATATCAGTCGTGAAATGGCAAATTGTATGTGCTACCCTTGAGTGTGGGGGTCTTGTGTTCGTATTATCTGTGCCTGACTGTATAGAGTCAATGTTCTGAGTCTGTCTGTTCTGTAGATCTAGAAATCTCGTCTTGTGCCAACTGTAGACTGTACTCTAGACTGTTTTTACTGTAGAGAAATCGGCCCATTCCTCCCCCCCCATTATTATTCGCCTGTTTTCCTGTTTCAGGAGTTATCGAGTTAAAACTTTACTGATGTCAGCCTAGATCAAATTTGAAGAGATTTCGAATTCTGAATCTCCTTTAGAACTAAACATGAAGCAAAATTACTTGCAATAAAAAACGCTTCTTTGTAAAAGGCGACAGTTTGGGCGACAGACGCACTTCACGATTGCACTTAACAACACTAGGCCTTGGCGTGGTGTTTAATATGTAATTATGACAAATCAGTTACAGTAGAACACGGCAATAGCGGGACTTTTGGTTCTAGAAGAAAAATCCTGCTGTAGGTGAGTTCCCGCTATTGGAATGCATTTAGGGGAAATTACCGAAAATTTTCTAAAAATCCACATGATCACCTCCCTTCCATATCAATAAAATTTGCGCTTTAGATTAGTCTTCCTTTTCTTGTCAACTTCGTTTAAAATTATCTTGGCCTTCGAGTGAGAAGCATTTCCTTTAGTCTTTGTTGGAAGCCATCTTTTCCTCGGTCTTGTTGCTTGTGCTGTCTATCGTACGGGTAGGCCTACTGTAGAACTGGTGAAGTGGACGCGTGCGTATGCCTTAGCATCAACGATCACAATTCAATTAATCAGGAACCACACACGCTCTCATACTGACCGTCTAAGCTACGGCCCATCTTTTTTGGAGTGGCTCACGTAACGCGTCTCCGCACCATCTCTCTCTGCCGAGTGTCCCACCTCACTCATCACTGGACTGGCAAATCACAACGCTGCACCACTGACTGTCTGTTTGGGGCCGCCTAAAGTCTCCCAAACCCTCCTCCCCCCAGGCTAAACTTTGCCCGATCTCTTACGCTGTTACATCCGAGTTTGGGCCCTTCATCGCCCGCTAAACCTGAGCACAGGTAACTGAGTTTGCATATTTTTTAAAAAATCCTTCTCGTCCCAAATTGCAGGTTTTTTAAACACGGTTGATACCAAAGACTTGACATCCATTTCGGTACTTTTGTCACTGAGACTGAGAGAAAATACATTCTGAACCACCCAAGTCGTGACCAGACAGCCAGACAACAATGGGGGGCGGTAAAGCGAGAAAGAATTAACTTTTGATTCTTTACGCTTTTTAACTCACTTCAGACGAGTCACACAATAGTTGCGTGACCCCCGGGGCGACGCTCGCGACGGGTCTCACAAGCCCTGCGTGACCAACTTAGAAATTTTTTTTTCGCTCTACAAATCGCGCACGGATCGCGAGACCCGCCTCGTATCCTTGTTTGGCCAAGCCTGAGCTACTTAGACTTCGTTTCGTATCTCTGGGGCCGGTAGTTTTTAAGTTATTGAAGGTGAAGGACAGTGACCCCAACTGGGGTTGAACAGACCGGAACTTCCGCTTTTTTTTCCTTCTATACAGCTGTCAGTAATCCGACAGTCGCGCCGTAGTAACGGTCGAAGAAGTCGCATGAACAAGAATCACATAATTTCGCCGTTTTCTATACTTCTGTGCGTTTTACTAGTTCTAGTGTCTCAGAATATGATGTATCT